TATCACTGTGGTATGATTCTTTTAATTCTTTTGGGAAGATCCCCAGCAGGGGAATAGCTGGGTCAAATGGGACCTGTAGCCCTAGTTCTTTGAGGTATCTCCATACTGACTTCCACAGTGGATGCACCAGTCTACACTCCCACCAGCAATGGAGAAGGGTTCCTTTCTCTAAACAGGGGTCTTTCTAACTCCCCTCCCCATAACTAACCACCATGGCCTCCCGGAAGTCACTCTAGGAGCCTTGGCCATGCTGGACAGCTACTGGGACAGAAAGGTGCTTCCCTGGGCCACATGGGCAGTGGAGGGGTGCAGATGAGCCACCCCGCTCCCCACTGCTCACAGACCAGTGTGGCAGCACACAGTGCACACAGGTTGCTTCCCAACACAGAGCCGAAAGCCGCCTCTCAACCACAGCCGGTCACCAGGACTCAGGAGTCAGGCAGACATCACCAGAGGAAGAACAGCACCGAATGCCCACTGTGGTACCAAAGAAAGGATGTGCTTTGCATGGAAAGCTGAATTTATTTACGCTAATCATGAATGCAGGCTCTCAGCTGGAAAATCTGCCTTAAAATGCCAGAACCCATTCACAAGCTTTTCAGAATGCATGCAGTTGCCATAGTAACCCTGACATTCTATTTCTTGGCACCAGACATGTAAAATTACCACCCATAATGCATTTAATACCATTTGGGGCCACCAATTCATAGCAAAATAAATGAGTTCAGCTCTCGGCCTCCCTCTTGGGATCAGCTGGAGGTAGATAAGCATGGAGCACCACCCCAGTAGGAGTGCTCATCAGAGGTAAAACGGGACCAAGGGAGCAGACAGCCTCACCGACTGCCGGCCACACGACAGAAGGGTAAAGACAGAACGCTCCATGCCCGATCAATCAAATCCTCCTTGTTTAAATGAAAGAAGTATATTACAACCCAAATCTGCACCACTGAAATCTGACTGTCTGCACAGAAAAAAACAGTAGCAGCTCTCTCCAAAGATGATCTTCAGTACTTCATGTAGAGGGCGTTTGCCCACACTACACAAAGTAATCCTTCAAATGTCACAACTGTCCTTAATTAGAAATAGTCTTATTTCTTCACCTCAGGAAAGATCTACTCAATCATCATTCCTTGCTCTGACTTGAGATATTCACAGGCATTTAAAATGCAGGCACGATTCTGGAAGTCCCTTACCTCCGCACGATCCACCACCTGAACACAGTTGAAAGCCAGGCCACAGGCGAGAGCTGGAGGCATCCTCGCCTCACATCCCTGGGACTGCTGCACCGCGGGCTGGGAGCTGCTGCAGGATAAGCAGCTCAGCCACAAAGCCTGCATCCTAATCACCCCACCGCAGGGCTGGGGCAGCAGCACTTCCACTGCGCCCTCCTTCCCACCGCAGGCAGGCAGCAGAGAGGGAAGCGGGAGGCTCCACCCTGGGTGGGTTCCATGTTCCCGGGGACTCGGGGAGCCGCTGCATTGCGTCTTCCTCAAAGCTACCAACCTCAGGAGAGGAGCGCTGGGGAGAGACTTCAGGGTCTCAAAAACTATTACAGACCGAGGACATTTCTGGGTCTCCAACCTGTTTCCTAAAGACGTGAGTGTGGTTTTCCCGGGGCAGCTGGCTACACGGACATGAATGAAAGGAGCATTGCGGTCACAACATGCCATCCTCAAGCACACGTGCTCCCTGAGAGTCCTGCGTCTGCTGCTGAACTCCAAGCCCCGCTGAGGCGTCCTGGGAGGACACCACAGCCTTCTTGACAGAAACACAAGTCCTGAAGGCACTTCCGGCTCCCAGGACACAGTGATCGCCCGGGTGCTCCCTCACCATCTTCCTGGAACAGGAGGGTCCTGATGCTGCCAGGACCCCCTGGCCACACAGGAAGTTCACACAGAGACTTTTCATTCATTCATTCAGTCAGTCTTCTGCGAGCTTGGACCATATGTAAAAAGGTAGGCGCCCAAGAAAGCTCGAGTCACGGTGAGGACAGGGCTCCAGGCAGCAGGGCGAGGACCACAGCAGGGCCAGTGCATCGCAGGCAGGGGGGCCAGAACTGTGCCGGGGTCCCGGGACAGGGCTCGGGACAAGGTTCTGGGAAGAAGGGACATCTGCCAGGCGCTGACAGGGGCGGCATGAGGAAGGCTCCTCCAGAGCCTGCACTGCCCCTGGTGTGCACGAAGGGGCTCAGCACACACACAGGCTCCGGCTGTGGTGTGGGCCCAGCTCCCCTCAGTGGCTTGAGCAGCTACCTCAGCCGGCGCAGCTGCCTCTGGTGCCTGGGCCCCGGGCAGGGTCGCTGTCTGTGGGGCCTGTGTCCAGATATGGTTTATCCCGTCCTCTGCAAGGGCCCAGCCCAACACTGAGCTGGTGCACGTGAAGGGACCAGAAGAATAGATAAACAGGGATGCCTTGCATACTGACGAGAACAGCCCTCTTGCCTTCCCGGCAACCTGTCCCGCTCTACCCCTCAGGCTCCGGGGTCTTCTCCAGGAATTGGTCGCAGGCTCCCTTCTTACCCGGCAGCAAGGCCCTTTCCTCTCTCCAGCCACCTCCAGCGGCCACTGTATGATGCTGAAGCGACAGCTCCATGTCCGTGTCCTCGATGCGCAGGTCAGTCCCACAGCCGACACAGGGCTGCCTATGCCCCAAAAGATGGGACCCTGGCCCAGGCAGCTACATCCCTGTCTAGAGGGCAGCCAGGCCTCACTGCTGCGTCCCTGGCATCTGCCCACCAAGAGTTCACCAACACCAGCGGAAGATGCCACCACCTCACAGCACGCACGGGGTCTCCCCACTCTACCTCTGCCCTTCGAGGTGAGCGTGAATGAAGCAAAGCGCCACACGCTGGCAACGTGGGCATGGCGGCCTCATCACAGCCTGAGTGTCACACTCCACGGTGCTCAAGGCGACAGAACGGACTGCTGACAACCGCGCTGCGTGACTGCAGATCAGGCCCTGCCCAGTGCACCTCCGGTGTGGATCCCTGCAGGTGGGGACAGCTCACGGCATGTGGCAATGTGCAGAGGAGGACATGCAGCTCAGGGAAATTTCCCTTTGCCCAGCACCGTGCTTTATAGACTCACTAGGGCAGTCTAAAAGCCTCTGAGGAACTTTTATCAGACGCTGCTGGACAAACGGAGATGCCGCTCGGGCACTCCCCACAGCAGTTCCAGCGGAACCCTGCCTTTCAAGTTAGGATCAAGGCTGTTTCTCCTGCAGCCTCCTCCCACTGGCTGGCCGGGGCAGTGGAGTACAGCAAGCCGATGCAGCCAGAACCTGGCTCTGAGCGCTCGGCTTTCCGGGGGCCTTCATCATACCCTGTGCCTCTCGGATGGCCCTGCAGAGGGGGTGCCCACAGCTGCGGGGAGCTGAGACGGACGAGCAGTCGGCGCAGGTGGAGGGGCCCGGCGGGGTGTGCAGGAAAGACCCAAGGGGAGCTGCCCACAGCCCTCCAAGTCCTTCGGCATGAGCACCTAGGAGCCAGGGGCAGCAGGGCAGGGCTGGTGCCAGGGCCCCAAAGGCCAAAGGAGGCGGCTTCCTTTGATCTCCATCCACACCTGACGGGCAGTTCGGCCTGCTGAGAGGAGCTGCTGACCCCTGGGAGGCCATGTGAGCCTCCGGGCAAGGGTAGGGCGGGTCTGCTCTCGCCTGGGGCAGCGCCTGGCCTCCACTGGCCGACTCCTCCCAAGGGAAGGACCAGCACCTGGCCTACAAAGCTGGCAGAGCTGACCTGGCTCACAACTGATTGAGCCCATGAAAGACGCCCATGGCATAAGCTGTCTCCAAAAGTTAGGCACAACTGTCAACACCACACAGGC